TGAGCAGAATGAATCTATCAGACACAACAAGTAATTAAATATAAAGGGGGAGAGTCCAACAAAAAGAAAATGTCATGACGAGGATAAGTCAATACATATCAGTTATAACCATCAATGTTAATGGTCTCAATTCACCAATCAAAGGAAACAGACTGGCAAAATGGGTCAAGAAGCAAGATCCAACAATGCGCTACATTTAAACAATACACTTAGTTCAAAAAGAAACTCATAGACTGAAAGTTAAGAGTGTGGATAGCAGTGAATACCCATATTAGTACAACAGAGAAATCTCAATTAAACAACATGATGCTGAACTTCAAGTTTCTAGAAAAATAAGAGCTGGACAAACCTAAAGCTCATACAAGGGAGGAAATTATGAAGATCAGAGCAGAAACCAATGCAATGGAGACTGAAAGAATGTTACAAAAAAAATAAATGAAGTACAGTTGGTTCTTCAAAAGAATAAACAAAATTGACAAATCCTTAGCTAACCTTACCAAAAAAGGGAAAGAAAAGGCCCAAATCCATGCAATTAGGAATGACAAGGGTGAAATTACAACAGACCCAGCAGAAATCCAGAGAATCATCAATACCTACCTCAAGAACCTATACACCAATAAGATGGAAAACATAAAAGAAATGGACAGATTCCTTGATACATATGAGTTACCAAAGTTGATCAAAGAAGGCCTAAAAATTCTAAATAATCCAATATTAATCAATGAAATTGAAAATGTAATTAAAAACTTACCAGCTAAGCAAAGCCCAGGCCCTGATGGCTTCACTGTTGAATTCTACAAGACATTTAGAGAAGAACTAATGGTACTACTCTATCTACAGAGTGCTCCGCCCAACAACAGAATACACATCTTTCTCCTCAGCACATGTAAGTTTATCTAAAATAGAGCTTATGCTAACTTGAAAGCATGCTTATGTAAATGTAAATTTATATCATACACATTATCAAATGATAGCACCCTGAAACTAGAAATCAATGACAGAGGAAACCACAGATCATGCAAATGTATTAAACCTAAACAGGGCTCTCTTGAATAATCAATGAATCACACAAGAACTCAGGGAAGAAATTAGACAGTTCCTAGAATTAAATAATAATAATGCCAGTTACACTATACTAGAACTTGTTGAACACAATACAAGCAGTCCTAAGAGGAAAGTTAGCTATGAATGGCCACATCAGAAAAACAGAGCCCAAATAAATAATAGTGAATCTCGAGATCCTAGAAAAATAAGGACAACCCAAATCCAAAGCTAGCACATGGAAGAACATTATAAAGCTCAGAGCAGAAATTAGTGAAATTAATGCTAAGAAATCAATGCAAAGAATCAGTGCATCAAAGATATGGTTCTATGAAAGAATAAACAAAATTGATAAACCCTTAGCCAATCTTGAAAAAATAAGGAAAGAAAAGAACCAAATCAATGGAATTAGAAGTAAAAAGGTGAAATCACAATGGACACTGTGGAAATGCAGATTATTAGGAACTTCTTTTGAGAAACTGTACTTCAATAAATTAGAATCCATAAGAAATGGATAAATCCCTATATACATATGAATTATCAAAACTGAACCAAGATGTCAAAGCCCCAAATAATCCAATGACAGTCAACAAAATTGAAGCAGTAATATAAAAATTACCAACTAAGAAAAGCTCAGGACCCAGTGAATTCACAACTAAATTCTACAAGAACTTTAGGGAAGATCTAACACCAACTTCTCAAACATTTTAATAAAACTGAAAGGGAAGGAGTACTTCCAAAATCATTATGGAAGTCATCATTATCCTGACCCCAAAATGAAAAAAAGACCTAACAAAAAGAGAGACAGAGAGAGGGAGGAAGGGAAGGAAGGGGGAGGGAGGGAAGGGGGAGAGGGAGAGAGAGAGAGAGAGAGAGAGAGAGAGAGAAGAGAGAGAGGGAACTCTTCAATGAATATCAATGCAAAAATCTTCAACAAGATACTGGAAAACAGAATGCAGTGGATCATTATAGGTCATGACCAAGCAGGCTTTGTCCTGGGGATGCAAGGATGCCCCAATATATGGTCATCTCAATATCTGTTTTTAAAAAGCCTTTGATAAAATTCAACATTTATTCATATTAAATATCCCCAAAGAAAACAAGTATAGCAGGATCTTAGCTCCATCTAATAAGAGACATTCATGACAAACCTAATGTCAATACCATAATAAATGAGAAAAAACTGAAAGCTTTTCCTCTAAAACCAGGAACAAGATAAGGATGTCCACTATCACCATTCACATTTGACAGTCCTCAAAATTTAGCCAGAGCAATCCAGCAAGAGAAAGAAACAAAAACAAAATGTATAGGAAATGAAGAAGTCAACTTTATCATTATGGTCACCTCTCCATAGGTGACCCAAAAAATTACACAAAAGACTCACAAAATTAATAACCACATTCAGTAATATAGCAGGATAAAAATCAACATACAGAAATCAATGGTGTATCTGTACACCAATAACAAACTTGCCAAGAAAGAAATTAGAAACACCATTTATAACATCAAGAAAAATTAAATACTTATTAACCTTACAAAAGAAATGAAAAACCTCTACAGTGAAAACTAAAGTACTCTGGAAAAGGAGATCAAGTAAGACATCAGAAAATGGAAAGATACCCCTATTCCTGGACAGGTAGGACCTATATTGTCAAACTTGTTCTTTTCCAAAACTTATATACAGATTTAATTCAATCTCAAACAAAATTTCAACAGCGCTTCTCATATAAGTAGAAAAAACAATCCTAAAATTCATATGGAACCAAAAGAGATTCAGAATAGCAAAGTAATCCAGGGAAGCAAAAACAAAATCGGAGGTGTCAATAATCCCAGACTTCAATTTATACTACAAAGATGCAGTGATTAAAAAAAAAAGCAAAAAAACAGCTTAGAATTGACACAGAAACAGATATATGTACCAATGGAACATGCAGAAATGACTCCAGGTGCATTCAGCTATCTGATGTTTGACAACAAGGCCAAAAACATACCCTGGAGAAAAAGGTGACCTCTTTAACAAGTGGTGCTTGGAAAACTGGCTTTCCACACACAGGAGATTAAAGTTAGACTGATAAATGTCCTAAACTAAAATAAAAATAGATCAAAGATCTAAATGTTAAAACAAAAGCAGTCTGCTGGAATATAAAAGAGGTAAAATTCTTGAAGATACAGGCATAAGAAAAGATTTTCTGAACAGAACCCAGTATCACAAAAATTAGTATTAAGAACCAACACATAAAAAAAAAATTAGCCAGCATGGTGGTGCATGCCTGTAATCCCAGCACTTGGGAGGCTGAGGCAGGAGGATCACTGTGAGTTCAAGACCAGCCTGGGCTACATAGTGAGTTCCAGGTCAGTCTCCACTACATAGTGAGACCCTGTCTCAAAAAACCAAAAAAAAAAAACAAAAAAAAAAAACAAAACAAAATCCTAACACATGGGATCATATCAAATTTAAAAGTTTCTTCACTGAAAAGCACCCAAAAGAGTGAAGAGTCAACCAACAAATTTGCCAGCTTTCCTCAGACAGAAGACTAATATCTAGAATATATAAAGAAATCAAAAAAATCAGATCCACCAAAATGAAAAATCCAATCAAAATGGTCAATTGATGTGAATAGACCCTTCTCAGAAGTACAAATGTCCAGCGAATATATGAAAAAAGTTTGGTATCTTTGGTCATTAGAGAAATGACAACTAAAACAACACTTAGGTGCCATCTTATTTCAGAAAGAATGGCTGTTATCAAGAAATCCGATAATAACAAATGCTGGTAAAGCTACAGGGAAAAAGCAACCCTTCTATATTGTAGGTGGAAACTTAAACTAGTACAACCACTGTGGATATCAGAATGGAGATTCTTCACAAAGCTAAAAATAGAAATTCCATTTGACCCAGGTCTCCCCATTGTAGGTATCTTCCCCAAAGAGTTAAGGACATCCTATTACAGTGATTCATGGATACCCACATTTTATAGCAGCACAACTCAATTTTTAAATCTTGGAGGCAGCCTATGTGTCTACCAACAGATGAATGGATAAAGAAATGTGGCGTTTACACAACACGGAGTACTACACTGCCATAAAGGATAAGCTTCAGTCACTGTAATAAGAAAATGAATGCACCTTGAGACCGTAAAGTGAAATAAATCAGACACAAAAGTTTAAATGTTTCATGGTTGTCTTTATGAGTTGGTACACATTACCAACTGATTCAGCTCAAGTCTAGGATATATTAAGCAAGAAAGAAAACAAAAAATTGGACTTACTACCATGTCACTCTGGGCCCTGACGTCCCTAGTCAATGTACCTTCTCCTCTCCACCTTTAGAGTCTTCTTATGCTTGTAATATACACAATTTTTAGTTGTAGAGCAGTGAGAGCAGGGAAAAGTGATTCTACCCTACCTTCTGCAGAAGTGGAAGCCTCACAAGTAATTTTCAGGAAGCTACCATTCATTAAATTGTGATGTGTTATTAAAGAGAGTAAATTTTGGTATGCTATTAAAGAATATCCACAATTATGTAAGAAAGGCCACTGAAATAATTTTTCTTTTCCAAGTACATATCTATGTAAGGCCACATTTTTTCTCATATGTATCAGCCAAAACAACCACAAAATTGAATGCAGAAGCAAACTTCAGAACCCAGATGTCTTCTATAGAGCCATGAGATATTACAGAATAAATACATAATCCTAGCATTCTCTCCATCATTATGCTTTTAAAACATAATCACTTTTCATAAAATACACTACATATGTAACACATATGAGTTTATTGTTCCTACTTTTAATAAAAAATACTTTAGAATTTTAATTTCTAACACTGTAAGTATCAATAGATATAGCTCACATAAACAATTACTGGAGTCCTCAATTTTTACAAGTGTTAAAGGATCCTTACCCAAAAAGTTTGAGAACCTGTGACTTGTAAAAAACTAATGTGAAGGAAAGTTCTTACTTCCTGCCCCAGGAGTTCCAGGTGTGGGTTGTGAAAACGCCAGCTAGTTCTCCGTGCTCTCTCAGGAGGCGGCCTTGATGGTACTGGAGGAATGCTGACAGATTCTTGGTTTTCATCCATAACAGGAATTCCATACAGTATTCTACAATATGACAAAAGCAATTCATTTGTTTTTAAAGTCATTGATGAGGCCAGGGATTTAGCTCAGTGGTTCGGCGGCCAGCCCAAATTCAATCCCTGGTACAAAAAAAAAAAAAAAAAAAAAAAAAAAAATAAAATAAAAAAAAAAAAAAAAAAAAAAAAAATTACATTTAAAGTCATTGATGAAGTAAAAAAACAAACAAAAAAAAACTGCTTACTTTTTGTACCTCTGTTGAAATTAACATTGTCCTCTGACATCTGCATTAAGTAGAGGTTGTAAGAAGATAAATAATCCAAAATGAGAAATAATCAAAAAATAATTTGTTTTGTTCTGAAGACATTTTAAAAGTAGCTTCTGTGATGGCTCAGATTCATCATATTGGAATAGTAAGTTTACCCCAAGAAAGTCCAATTACAAAAGAGATTAAAAATTTCTCTATCATCTGATTTCTAACCGACTCCCCAATCCTGAACTGCCAAGGTCAGAGGTAAAGCTCTCCTGAAGCCCATGTTGTAAATGTGATTTGGGATCCATTGTCCAGATGCACACACAAAATTTAAAACACAGAAGGTTCTGATGTTTCTGTTGGCAGTGCAATCAGAACTCTTCTGCAGCTGCGTTCCAGTCGCTTCCTTTGTGGGTTGTCATTTTTATTTTACCAGTGAGCATATCAGACAGACATAGTATGGCTCCATAGTCAAAAGCTCAGTGGAAGCCACTTGATATCAACTAAACTGGTATGCTGCCAATATGGGCTTTCAGCTACCCTGCCTTCCTGACTGCTGGAAAGAGAAGTTTCCTTAGCATACAAACCTTCTGCTGTCTCAGTGTCTCCAGAAGCCCTCTTTGACTCATAGCCATTTTTTCCATTGATTTTATACATAATGTACTGTCATTACTCAGTCCCTTCTAGCTTCAAACAGTATAGATGTTTCTGTTTCCTGCAGCTGAATCTTGACGGATATATCCAGAAAAACAACAGGGTAAACTCTAGAGACTAAGAATCCCAGAGTGTGGAGACATTAAGATCAATAAAGTAGCTCTAAGATAGGTTTGTGGGGACAGGATGGCAGTGGTGAGATGGGGGACCTAAGAAACTACCCTGAGGAACCAGGAACCACTGTAATATTCATTGTCTATAAGCCAAAAAACAGAGTAGCAATATCTTTGATATTGTCTCTCACATTCAAAAGCATAAATAGAAACTGTGATAGGTCAGAGAGAATGTGGATGAAGTCAGTGGACATTCTGGAGCGCGTAGCTCTGGCAGACACCAGTGGGGTAAAGGAAGGCCACCTGGGGTTTCCAACTCTTCCTATGTAACAAAGATGAATCACTTATCTGGAAAGTCCTCTCTACATTTTCTCTGCTTCATTCCTTCTTTCTCAAGAAAGGAACCAACCCTTTTTAGAACCAGCCCCTGAGTGATTCAGACTGAAAGTCTCTCCATTCCAACCTCTCCCTCATCTCTGACCAAAATCCTGCATTCTGTTCATCCTCCCTCCAGTGTCTCTCCTCTCCATCGCATCTTCTCTTATGGGGCTCCTGTGAAATGAGCTTTGCTGCTTCCTTACCTCCAGACTTTCTCTCCTCCAAGCATGCTATACACTCCTGCCAGAGTTATGATTAGTTACTCCCTCTCCAGACACTTCAAAGACCACACACATTACAATCCAAGCTCCTGAGCCACCAGTGAGGGTCCTCCACAGGCTAGGCATCACTGATCTCAAAAACCCTACTTCCAAATCTTACCTAACCTCCATTTGTTATGCAAAAGATGTCCCAAGCACTGTGATTACTGCAGTGGCAATGGAAGAAACAAGCAAACCAATAGGCTTAATATGTTGAAAACATGACGCTGCTGTGGTTCTCAATGTGCACTCCTGAACTCGCAGAAGGTTCACATAAGAACTGGTTCATAGTGCAGACCTACTGGGCCCCATCACAAACACAGTGAAACTGAAGCCCAGGAGGTGAACACAGCCATCTGTGTTCAAAACAATCACCTGCAGGTGATTCCAATGCACTCTTCAGTTCCACAGCCACCAATGTTCTACAGTCTTTCCTAAAATGGCTTGATTATGAGAATCTCCTAAACACCTGTCACATCTACGGCTTTCCAGATCCTTCCACTGGAAATTTTAATTCAGTAGGTTTAGGGATATAAAGCCGAAGAATTAATATATTTGCCCAACACCCTGGTTGGTTCTTATCTTCTAGAAACTAAAAAACTAATATGAGGGAAAGAAGGAGGCTTTGGGAATGAGATTAATAGGTCCTCTTCTGGCCACCTGCTGTGCTATGTTGGTGCTATGTTTTGAATATCATTTGTACCCACCAAAACCCACGTTTAGAATTGGATCCCAAAGTGGCAGTGCTGAGAGGTGAGGCCTCCTGGATGGAGGTGGTATCACATAAGAGTGAAGTGCTCAGAAATGGATCCGTGCCTTTCTTGACTAACTGTTGTGGGTATTTATACCTCCTTTTCTCTCTTGATCACAAGCTTTCTTGTCCTTCCACTTTCTTCCCTGAGTTGAAGCAGCACAAGACCCTCACTACCAGCAGCTGCCCAATCTTGGACTTCCCTGCCTCTAGACCATAAACCAAAATAAACCTCTTCTCTGTATGAATTAACCAGACTTGGGTATTCAGACTAAGACAGTTGGGTAGGACACTTTCCCTGCTAAGCCATAGCTTCCTCACCTAGGAAGGGTGACACTGATTAAGTCTTCCAGAGCCTAGTTCTTAAAAATAACACATGAAGAGCCTTACACAGAAAATATACTGAGTAAGTGAATGAGGTTATAATCATTATTTTTATCATCAGAGGAGGGTTCAATGAAGGAAACAAGCCCATCTTTCTGAGAGGAAAGTCAACACCAGTATTCTATGGGGCCAGATATACAATGTATTTCCTGTTGTATGATGCTATCAAAGAAGTTTGGAAAACATTGTCCAAAACTGCAAGAACTCTTAAAATACCTCTGCACGGATCTGTGAGTTAGTTACCCAAAGGTGACTGTGAGACACATCCTGTGAAATAAGGAGCAGAAGCTTGGGATGATCTCACAGAGGGGCTCTGCATCACCACTTCACTGTCTCTTCCTTGGAAAAACATACCTTGCTCCTGGGTGTACAAAGCCTGGGCAATCTTCACAGAATGCGATTGACAGTCACTTTTAGGTAACTCACAGACTGTGCACAGGGAAATTTTTAGAGTGCTTACATAGAAGTTTCTGCACAGTAATACATGCAATGAACTATTCTAGACACCTTTTTTTTGTACCAGGGATCAAACTTAGGCCCTTGTGCTTTTGAGGAAGGTAGTGGAACCACTGAGCTAAATCCCAGGCCCTCTAGAACCATTTTTTAAAATACCCATAGCAAACCACTAAGCTGAATTCACAAGCCACTTACAGTTTCAGAACCCACAATTTGGAAAACATTAACTTAGAGAAATTTTTGTCTAAAAAGTTTTTTTTTTCCCTAGGTCTGGAAAAAAATTTAGATTTGAAAATAATAACCTGCAAATTACTTTCTTTAGCAATACATAATTTTTTCTTTAAAATATGAAGAAGAGGCATACAAATATTTTAAGTGTTTTTTAAAAATAGGGAATATTGTTTCAATTAAATGAGTATCTATAAGAATACTCATTAACCATATAGAATTGTTTTTACAAAATAGGATTAGGGAGGGGAACATTGTATTTTTTAAATCATTGTATTTTCATTGCTACATGCAAAGAGTGACATCTGGTGGAATGTCATTGTTTTACTTCTTTTAAAAATCCAACTTACATGTTGGAGCTATGGAAACAGACAAATTTCCAAATCATTTCTTGTTTCGGTACTTCTATATGAAGACAAAATGTAATAATCTAATGTCTTATTAAATATTTAGAGGGCATACTGACGTGGTTTTCTGTCACCCTGACTGGTACATTTAAAAATCTCATTTAAGACATATGATAGGGCTATGTTCAAAGTGAATTTTTTTTAATGAAGATTACACTGGATTCTGGTTTTAACTGCCACAGTTGTGATTTGAGTGCCTCAGCCTTGTCATCCATTCTGTTGGAAGTTTTAGATAGGAGAATGATAAGATATCTTATGGCTCTGATATATGTACTTCTGTGACACATATCACCAGTTGGACCTCAGACAGATATTAAGTCTTGTGCTCTTTATTTTAATATCTTAGGTCATTGCCTAGATTATGTAATGAGGAATAAGGCCAAGCAGGAGCTTGGAACAGGGTCAACACTATCCTGACCACCAAGAAATGTCAGACAATGTGAGGAATGGGGAATAAAAGAGGAAGACTGGACCCTCCGGTAGATAGCCCCTTTGACCAAGCACCACAGAGGAACTCCACCACAGGGGTGCCAATACAGCTGTGTTCACACCTCGCCTCCCTGCCTCAGCCACCTCGTGAACAAAAGAAGGCCTCTCTAAGGCTCCTAAATGAAAGTTGAAGACCTCTGGAAAAGTGAAAATAATCTTCAATAAAGGCACACCACACCATCATAGTTGGTAAGTCAGAGGGACCAGCACCTCACATGGGAACCTCGTCTAACTTCAGGGGAAGGATAGCTAAAACCTGCAATAGAAACTTGCAGGGTTCAACCCAGCAGGAGGACAGAGATCTCAGCTTGGGCCTTGCAGCCAAAAATCAGCCTGAAACTCAGGGAACAGTTGCTGGCTTGCTGAGACTAATTAGCTTAGACCTGCACACTCCTGCCCACAATGTCTATTATGTCAACAAAGGCACACCCTGAAGGAGGGACTCTATTTCTATTTGTATTTTTTTATTTTCAGAGTGATTTTTTCATTTATCTTTATTCACTTAAAATTATTTTTGTCTCTTTCTCCTTTCTCATATTGTTTTTCCTTTTTTATCTTATCTTTTTTTTCTCCCTCTCACTCTCTGTCACCTTGATCTCTATTACTCTCCCTTTTTGTTCCTATTCCTATCCTAATTCGAATTTATTTTCTTTC